TCAAGAAGACAAGAGACACCAGCAGGACCAGCACCGATCCGCTGGTTAAAGGGTGACTTGCCCTGTGCAGACTCGGCTGGACCTTGCGGGCGGCCTGGAGGCTTGTTGGCTTACTTTGGCTTGCTGGTCTGATACTGGATTCAACGCTGCTTGGTGGAGGGGGTAACCGAAAAGGGAGAAGACGATATGCACGGAGTTCGTACATAGAAATCCTCCCTCAACGGGCAGAAAGCGGCACAGATTGAGGTTGAAGTTGCCTCTTTCTCTCATCGTGTGAGTGCATCAGCCAATCGAGGGATTCAGAATGAACTGATTCAAGAACAGCCAGAACAGGAGGCAGGCATATTTTGTTTTTTGTGAGCTCGTTTTTCTTTTCTTTTCTTTTCTCCTCTGCCTTCCTGTGAACATTCGAAAAAGGCACAGATGGAGCGGGGGGGGGGGGGGGGTTACGAGAGGAGGGAGTACATCGCCCTTTTTCGTCCTCGTCCTTGAACCAACAGGTCAAGTTGGTTTGCCTGACCTTTTGTCTCCGTCCATGATCGATTACATGATTTTGTTCTGTCATCGATTGAGCGAGTTTGTCCCTGGTCCTTGTCCCTGCCCCTGTGCTTCCTTGGCTCGGTCGTACGTGCCCTTCACTCTGCTCTCAGTTCTGCCAGAGAGGTAGAGGGTACTTGATGAAGATGTGCCCTTCGAGAAAGTACATTTCATCTCGCATACGTTACGGGCTGCGTGCATGGTATAGCTGCAGCCATCTTTGCCTTGCATCTGCATTGCCTCCCACCCAGCAAGCCTTTCTGCCATCTCATTGGCAGTCACCCCCACTGTCCCCAGTCGAGGCGAGAAGCAAAAAAGAATGACAAAAAGGGGGGAGTGGCCATGTGGCAGGCTGAAGCAAGCGGTGGGATGACAGATATGTGAAGCGAGTGAGAAACCAAAACGCTGAGGGAGTGTACATATCGATATTCCACCAACAAGAGCGGCGGTTTGAGAAGGCCAGCGAGCGCCAGGCGGGACATCAGGATCCACTAACGTCGTGGTGTGTGAATGTGAATGGACTCAGCTCAAGCACTTACGAAGTGTGTACATACGTCTGGCTCCAACTGGCTGGGCGTACTAACTACGTCTTATCCACCTGACGAGCCGGCCTGTTGGGAATGCTGTCTCTTGACCATGTCCTCACATCTTTCTCGTCAAGGGTGGCCCGTCCATACGACGAATATACTTATACTTACTTCCACCTACGCTTGCTTTACGGAGTACAGGCAAGTTGCTCCCACTGTGAGGTACAGTTACTAGTGTACGCCATCAGTGGAAGCTATCTATCGACTGACTATCGTGCCGCTGCGAAGAAGGATACGAGGATGGATGGATGCCTCCCCGCACTCTTCCAAGCAGCCAGACCAGACTGAACAGGGAGCAAGAGGCCGCAAAAACGACGAGAGAAAGAAGAAAAATCAATAAATGATATAGATCAATATCCATCTTCGATCGATAGCGGCCGAAAAATGCGGCGGGAAAAACGACAAAGAATGCGACGGCAAGGATCGTATTACTTATGGTAAACTAGGGGAAAGGGAGAAATTGTAGGTAAAAGCAAAGAAATATGCCGCCGAAATGGAAATCATTATCACTGGCAAGCAGTTCTCGGTTCTTCCGTACCTATACTTCTATCATTGTTGGCCTGTATGGAGATGCATACTTACAAGTTCTCAACATGCAATAACAGAAATCCCCCATAGTATGTAAAAGTAAGCCGATACATAGTACTAGCTCCCGTCTTCAGTGGGTCGATAGAAAGGGGAAGAGCTCCATCTGTAACTCCATCTTCTCCGCCCTGCCAATAACTTACTGTTCTCCATCGGCGTCTACAATCTACCAAGAGAGTAATTGGACCATCAAATAGATGGGTACAGCGTATACGAAGGTGCATGCATCGACACGCCAAAGTGCCACGACGGTGGCCATCCCAAACGCCCACAATCTACCAGGCGATCCCGACAGCCAACTTGACAGTCAATGTCAGGTCCCTTTTCTCCTGCGGCATAAAATTTGATATAATACTTATCATCCACATATATTGTTACTCCAAATGGAGTACTAGTGGGTGGATCACTTGTTTATCTCCATTCCTCTCCATGTGGTTGAACACGCAACGAGGGCGACTTCCGTTGCATCATTACTATTACAGCAAACAACAAGGTATTCACAACAAGAGATACTAGGTTGGCTAGCAGATGGAGCTCTGGCTTTTTGTCTCGAGTGATATCGAGACTGAAGAGCTTGCTGCTTGATAATCATCAGCTAAGCACGGCATTTCATTTCATTTCAATGCTTGAGACTTTGCTTCGGACCAGAGCTGATGGCGATGGCGATATGACCCGCGAGATGAGATGATACGAAAGACTGGGCTAGATACGTCAAAAGCTCGCAGTCAGTTGGAGCGGAAGAGTTGGCCGACGCTATATAGTGCTGTCCGTATAACCCATATCCTTGCTCCCGTTCAAATGCAAGTCATCTATTAAAATATATCATCATCTCAGAGGATTGATAACTCCTCTGGACAGCAGCATCAGCCAAGCCGATACAAGAAACAGTTAACTGAGGGAGACAAAAAGCAAAGGTGACCAGGAAAAAGGAAAGAAAGCTGACCGGCGAATTCAAAGTTACCGCTACCACCAAGGTACATGGACTTGCAGCAAGCCCCTGCAATCTCTTCTCTCTTCTCGTCTGCTTGGTGGCCAGCGGAGGACGCTGCTTACGCAAGACGTACAGGCATCAAAGGGTCAACTACTAGGTCGAGGGCAGCAGAGAGACAAGCATCAGGCATCATGAGTATCAAGCATAAACACTACTCATGGTTGAGGTTGACTTGCAGCTCAAAGGCACGAACCACCCGCTCGCTCGTCCCAGGCACCCACCCGGTCCTGGCTCGACACTAAATTGGCTAACTAGGACTCTGTAGTAGTAGCCATTCTGCGCCAGGCTGCATCTCTACAACTGTGACTGTAACTGTCGCCTCCGGATCAGTAGACGGAACCAGGAGATGGCGATGCAAAAAGTCCAGAGCCATCGCTTACCAGGGATACGAACGACCGCCTCGCTCTATGGGATTTGAGAAAAGTTAAAGCCACGCAGTTGATAGCCGTGACAAATACACCTAATTATGTCCCTTACTCAGCTTGACGCCAGTTGTTTAGGCCGAAGGAGGAGGATCGATGTTATGGAACTGCGAAAACGCAATAGCGTGGGATCTCCGCGCTCATACCAAGTTCGCACCCCTATCCCGGGTCTAATGAAAATAGGACATGCAGAGCCACAAAGATTCTGATTAGGCCAATGTGCGGAACAAGAGTTCGAAGGACTGAAACGGCGAAGAGACGGGAGCTAAAGGTGTATTTCTGTCTCGGTCCGTCGATATTGAGAAACGGGCGACCTCGGCTAGGAGATATGATAGTTGCGGAAGCTGTTTGGCAGCCTCTATGACTATACCATCAAAGCAACTAGATGACGATGACAGCGGTAACGGCAGTAGCCTATATGTGTATCGTTCGCCGCTCGGAAAGCTGGGTAGTGTTCTATGTATGTACAGGGTACGGAGTACATAGTTGGAGTCGATAACCATCTTCTTTGACACAAACACACACACATCCGCGGCAGTTATTCGAACATCAACCTGCACAGTAGAAAGGTAGCAAGGAACTATCAAAGACTTATCTTCGATCCCGTCTACTCGTCTCTCCACAAGTACGTACGTGCCTTATAGTTCTCGTTTCGAACTGCCATCCTCTGTTTCAACGGGCGGCGCGGATCGACATGGCTTGCCACTTGCGTCCTTCACGCAATATTTATCAACACAAACACGGGGGAAAAAACCAACTTTGCTTGCTTTTATTTGCCTTTGTTTCTTTTTCCCCACATCCTGCTGTCTGTCATTGCTGGCTCATGATTGATTGATATTTATATATCGCTTCCTTCTTCGTACCCATAGGCTGGGGCGTGGGCGATTGATTGTCGGCGCATTTTGAAGAGAATAATATATGAACCTTTTGAGGTTCCAGAACCAAGACCTAGTCCGACAGTGTCGGGACAAACTGTGAATGCAGACCATCGGCTGCCACACGTTACGTGCGATATGTGCCCCGTACTCTTCAGGCCTCAATACTGCACGCGACAGCTCGATATGCACCCTGTACTTCGTAACTTCGTCCGTGTATGTAGTCCGTACACTCCCGGAGGAGTCTCTCCATCTGCCCAAGTTAGGGAGCATTGCCCGGCAACCCGTATACTTAGACGCATTATACTCTCATCTCGGAGCAATCAGCCGGATCCAATCCACAAGCTTCAACAGTGCCTGGTTCAGGTTCTCTCCCAGCCTGACTTTCGGTCGATTAACCCCAGATAGGTTGCTGTTCCATCCGAAACGAGTATCGAAAGCAGTATCTCGACTCTGTCCCAAACCATCTTTCCCCGACGATCAACTTCTATTCATAGTATCTTCGCCATCGAATGAGACTCGTCCATCGCCGCCCTCTCCTCGCTCCTCAATTCTTCCCTTAGCCTTAGCATTGGCTGTCTATCTCCTGTCTCCTAAACCATGCTCCATAGTTGGCGAGAAACGCAGATTCATCACCGAACCGAACCACAGGTTCAGGACGGGACAAGAAGAAAGCAAAAAAAAAAAAAAAGGAACAAGTCCCAACCCAAACAACGCCCACACTAGTCACAGGCCGTTACCTGGCTTATACGCCTAGTTTCGCAGTGCTCGCTTGTATCGACGGCAGGCGGTACCATCGTTACCAATACTTACAAGGGCCATTACTAGACTGACCACCTTAAGCGCGACTTTCACATGTTCCCGATAAAAGTATTGCAAAAGCCATTAGAGAGATCGAAAAAGTGATAGTGTGCATAAAAAGGGGCCGTCCCGAGTAACGGATTTGGCCCTTCCCATGTTTCCCATCCTAATTTGAGCTCCCAGGATCGAGGCATCACTTAACTGATTCCAGTTTAGTTGCGGCGCCCAGCTGTATCAGACCACATGCTATGCCATGCCAGCAAACTCCAATCCCAAAACATGGGGTTTGAAAAGGTGGACTAACGGCGACTCCGCCGCTAAAAGGCAACCACAGTTCGTTTTCGGTTCATCTCTTGGAGATTACGTCGGGAGCCCGGCATTCCCCAGTCTTTCGAGGACTCCATTATTGCCTGGTACCCGTATGGAGCATAGCACACTTGGCCGTCGTTCTCCGCGCGCTGACCGTCCCGAGAACACGGAGTTGAGGCCGCAGCCGTCCTGGTGGACAGGAATCGAGATAATAATCTTGATACCCACATTTGTCAGAGGGAAATTGGAGAGGCCGCGCTATCGAGCGAACTAACACTAACGGACGGAAATGCGGACGGGACTGGGATAGGGGTGTTTCTTTCCCTCTGATCACCTTGGATAAAATATGGAGAATGACAGATCGAAGCCTTATACTCCCGTGTTGGCCTCATCAATACACCACAGTGTATTTCAGGGTTGGCCGTGATTATGGTCTTATTTTCTTGCCTCTCTCTCCCTTGCCTTGTCTCTTTTCCCCTCTCCCTCCCTTTTTCTCCCCCCTTCGTTCATGCATGCAAGTTCCGCTGTTGGTTTTATGGGAGTTTTGTTGGTTGACACCGAGAGAATGGGCTAGCTTTCCCATCTAGCAGATGTGGGAAAAGGAGCTCAATCCAGACCGACCTGCATACCCCTTGTCCACTCTACAATAAGAGAAGGAATTTCCGCCGTCGTTGTTGAGATTAGCTAGCCTTGCTTTCCGTAGCCCTGCCTGCGATCCACTTCCGCCGCCGTTGTCCAGCTGCACGGCATCGATGACAACAAATATTTCCAGCGCCATCCTGGAGTTATATTGCTACTCACATATACGCATGGAATCAGGACTCACAACACACACACACACACACAAGCATCGAACCTGGCTTCTGCCTCTCGAAATTGACAAGTAGCGCAACCATATTGTCTTGGTGTCTTGGCTTTTCGGTTATTATCTCCAGTTGTGTTGTTTTCTTGCAGGGATTCCGTAAAGAATTATACGCAAGCATGGAGAGTGGTGACCATGGTGTGTGTATCGTACTTTACAGACGATATTCAAGCTTGTTGACGTGAGCTTCGTCGACTCATATCAACGTCAACAAGGTCACGTTGGTAGAGTGTTGAAGAGCTGATTTCTTTTATGTAATATCGTAGGCTGTGTCTTGTAGGCTTGGATCGTCTCTCTTCATACTTCTCAATACTCGATTGATCGTTGCATGACATATTTTGACATCGAGCTGGGATGATACAGGGACCTTTTTCGTTTTTGGCTTTCGCATTTGGCTCTGCCGCCAGCATGAGCATGTCTGTTCATCACGAGCAGACGATGTGACCTTAACCCGTTCTACCCCGAGTTTACGGAGTATATTGCTATCAGGAGTACTCTGTAGCAAAGGTGAGACAAGGCAAAGCCAGGCGTACTGCGACCCCGGATTGACAATGGATTGAATCGAAACCATACTCGTATGCACTCTAGATCGCCGATATGGGTGTTCTGGGCTTAATTCGACGTGGAAAGATTCCTAAGTCAATGATATTGGGAACAGAGAAAGTTCATAGCCGACGATCATCGTCTTTGAATGAAGCCGAAGTTCATACGTAGGCTCACCAGTTGGCCAGGATGTGAGTAGTAAGGTAAGTAGATCTTCTCTTAGGTCCAGGATGGTTAATTTGCTCGCTAACATTCCAGGCCGAACAAACTACCTGTTTTCCCCTCCATCGTCCTTTTTACCTCTTGCATCGAGTATAATTTGCATTCCGTTCTTTTCGGCCTCTCCGCATCACTGCACACTTACTGAACAATGCATTGCGTGATCAAATGCTGTTTGTTTCGGAAGCGAGGTTATACCCATTCGGTATAGTCCATGCTGAAACGCAGTATCGCCCAGCCAGACTGAGAATGTCAAGATGGCACTGCCCATGCTCCTCTTCACCCCTTCTTCTCATCGCCACGACACACCACGGATATCCTCTTCGTTTTTTATGCTCCTGGCCATTGGATTCTCTGATTTCTTTGCCACAGATGTCGAAAAGCCAGATGCAGTTGAAACCCTGAAATATCAAATTCAACGAATTGGCGAATTGAAGGGAGGAAACGGAGGAGAGCAATGGAGAAAAAAAGGAATTTCTAGCGGTGAGAACGTGAGGAATGTGTCCATTGCATGCGACATGCGAAGGCAGGGGGTAAAGAGGAGGTGAGAGGAGTAAAATCTTCAATTCCGCATCGTTATACTGCTTCCACTATTGAAGGTCATATCATGCTAGTTGAACGCTCGCCCGCATGTCGCTCGTCACACTGGTCGTTTTACAGCACCCGTCGCTACCCCATTTCCCGTTTCTCGTTTCCGCATCCCGCTCAACCGAGATTAGTGTGCATGGATGAAGATGCCAGACACGACGTCGCACCCACGTGTATTTGCAAACAAGTCACTGCCGTTAATATTATAAGGGAACTGCGAAAAAAAAAAAGAAAGAAAGAAAGAAAGAAAGAAAGAAAGAAATAATGAAAGAAAGAAAAGAAAACAGACGAACAGTCCTTAACCAGATAGAGAGAGAGAGGGCGTTTAAAGATACCCCTCTCGACACCTCTGTCAAGCCGCTTGCTCTTGTTGGGCATTTTGAAAGTTGGGATAGATTGACGGCCCTCATAATCCTTGGACGGCTGAAGGATGGCACACCCTGCCCCAGCTTGCATTGCGCATACTTTTGTATATCACTTGAGCTCGTTGGCAGCTCTCTAGATACGGCCGATAAAAGGTGAGAAGCCAAGAACCGTTATACTCAAATATATTGAGAACCTGGCTGAGGTGGTGTGGCCATTCAATCTCGTCCTCGGCGGTGTGCTTGAGAGATGTTGCTGCTGTCTGAACCCCTCGAGTATACGAGCGGAACGAGAACCGGCGAATATACGCACTCTCGCCATCCAAGGACAAACTCACATTCTCCTAGGTCTTCTGCTGCCTTTGTCCTTTTGGCCACTCTTCGTCTTCGTCTTCGTCTCCGCTTGTGGTGATGTTTTTCTTTGTCGAGGTTGAGGTTCGTCAGGTTTGTTTGCGGAAATCCAAGCGCGATATCTTACATAAGCCGATAATAAAGTCACGTGCCAGGAACATGACAAAGAAAGCTTTCTGTAGAGATAAAAGACGACGAGGAGGATGAAGCAGGCGGAGAAGAACACAGTAAAGGGACAGCAAGGGAGAAAGGCTCTACAGTAAATATGGCAGAAGAAGAGACATACATCTTGATTACAGGCACGAACAGGTAAGATATGGCGTTTTTTCCCTCGAGGAAACAGGAGCAATGGCTAACGAGTCCGGGAGTTATCAGTGGCCTAGGCTTCTCAACATGCTGCCGATTGATGGATGAATTCCTTGTCTCACGCCCAGATAACCAGTCTCTCACCCTGATATTTACCACCCGCAGCGAGAAGAAGAGCAACGAGACCCTTGCGCAACTGAAAAACCACCTGCGAGCCACGGCTAAGAAGCTATGGGGGCTCGAAGGATTGGCCAAAGCGGAGTCGCGCATAACATTTAAACCTGAACACGTTGACCTATGCGATCTTCTCTCCGTTCGCGCCATGGCCAGACGAGCTGTTGCGGAAATACCCAAACTTGATGTCCTCATACTCAATGCCGGGATTGCAGGTTTCACAGGGATCAATTGGCCGTTGGCGTTTTGGTGTGTCTTGACAGACACAATATACGCACTCACTTGGCCTGCTCGCTATACCTATAGTAATGTCGGGGTTATGAACAGGAAACAAACTTCACAGCCTGACGAACCACCAATGGGCAAGATTTTTTGCGCCAATGTATTTGGACATTACATGTTGACGCATTATCTGCTCTCGGTGTTGGGCAAGTCCACGCTCAAGCCTGCACGAGTGATTTGGACTTCTAGTCTTGAGTCAACAAGGGATTTTTTCAGCGTTAATGATATGCAGGGTCTCAAGGTTGCGGAGTCGTACCAGTCTGTCAAGTACTTGACCGATCTCTTGATTCTAACCGAGCCGCTTTCCTCGTCAGCCCCTTGGGCAGATAAGTATCTCACCCCATCAACATGCAGTGGTATGGATACCAATGCAGCCAGCTATACAAGGCCTAAGATGTACCTCAGCCATCCCGGAATATGCTCTACTTCCATTGTCCCCCTTGCACTTCCCCTTATCTGGAGCATGATGTTTGTAAGCTGGATAGCGCGGCTTATGGGATCACCATGGCATGTTATAGACCCTTATTCTGGGGCTAATGCAACAGTCTGGTTGAGTCTTTCCCCTAAATCAACACTAGACGGTGCTGAGGCAGAATATGAGCGTTTAGGCGGGGGGAAGCCGAAGTGGGGCTCAGCATGCGACAGACTTGGGAGACAGTGCGTTGCTTCTACAGAGGTTGAGGGCTGGGGGTATGCCGGTGTAGTTGGGCCGGCAGTTTTGGAAGCTGATAAGTCACGACGACGGAAGCGTGGTGCCACAGATCTTACGGCGGAAGAAAAATCAACCTTCGTTGATGCCGGACGAGATTGCTGGAAACAGATGGAGACGCTGAGACTTAGGTGGGAGGATCTTCTTTCCAGAGAGGAGGCTAACAATATTAAGTTATGATATTCAGCAATATTTTGTCTATTATATTCTCAATTTCATACCGGCGGATATTTGTATGCTCCACGGAGATTCTTGCTATATACAGCCTTTAATATCTACGTTCTATACACAAATACTCCTTCAAGATAAGCTATGATGATGTCATATGATCGATGCGTTGTTAAACACCGTTATATACTCTACTTTACCCCTTTCGTGTATGATCAGTTCGCCAACACGCATTCTTGAAACATTCAGTAGGTCATAGGAAGGACAAGCATCATCTCCATCCTTTTGAGACGAGGATATAGCCTTAGCAATGTGAGTATGACTACGTCCCTGGATATAGTTAGGCTGGTTAATAACCAGTAGAGGATCCAGGCATTGCTTTGTAGTGTCATTTATCTTCGAAATAATTTTAGAGAAGACTCCAGACGGTAGATTCTGGGGTGTAGACTAGCCCCCATGCAATGCATCTGGGAATTGGCTCCATCCTGAATTTTACCGTAGGGATTGGTCTGAGGTTCACAAAAATACTAGGATTGTATGCTGGCCCTAGCCAAGATAGCAATGTGATTCAAGGTCATGGTAGAACAAACGGACTTATCAAGACATAGTTTCCATGCCAGGTATGACATTCATCCTCCGCTAAAGTAGAAGGAAGAACCACTATCATCATCATCATCATCATCATATCATTGTCATAGTCTTGGGTATTCAGTATAGGGTACTCCATACCACAGATAGTTTTCCACGTTAGATATCATCAGGTATTTAGTATGGTTCCATCCGCTATTCCCAGGGAAATCTTGCTTCGTATCTTGCTGGGCAGTCTGTGCATCGTAGGCAATGGTATATGAATGAATGAAGGATTGACGTCAAGACTTAAGCGCCCGGATTAGCCGCGCAAAGTCTAAATAGCTCCCTTGTCCCTGTGATTGTTTATCAAGATATCAAACAAGCATTTTGAAGGAAGTAATTAGCTAGCAGCTTATCACCATGTGAGGGTTTCTTACGAGGGACGAGAAGATTGACTCTTGGTCTGGTATACGAGTGTAACCATCCACAAGCAGATAGCCGTGGTCAACCCAGATCATGCAGACAGAGCAATATACTGCAATCCCCGTTAAATGGTCATTTATACAGGGACAACGGAGTAGCATAAAAGTTTAGGTTTAAAAAGAATGGTCAATTTGTGTGTTGATCTTACCTATTGAAACATCTCTATAACTAACTGGAGAAGCGGATCATAATGAGGCGATGAATGACCCGGGAAAGTACCTGATCAAGCATATAATCAATTTCTATTATTGACGAAGATGAGATCGAATCCCAACCATAGTTAGTTAATGCTCTGCCCCAGGAATGGTATTAAGCTTAAATACCTGTGGAACTGTCCATCAATCGAGTTAAATAACTAGTTAGTGATCCGATCTGCCTTGAGCCTATTTTTTGTGAATTCACATTTCACCGAATTCAGGTTGTAGACAGGTAAAAGGGGGTATGTGTCAAACAAATGGTGTCTCTAAAGCCGGATATCATTCATTTCTAACCATCTAACCGCATTTCACAAAAGCTGAATGACCAAGCTACAATATTCTCCTCCATTGCTCTACCGGGTAAATCGTGCCAGAGTTGCGTCGGAGTTCACAAGCTCAACCCTTGGGCCGAACGGCCAGGTTTCACAAAAATAAACTCAAGAAGAGGCCGATGCCTTAACACTTGATAGCTTGGAATCGTTTCCTTATCGGCGTCGTATTCCAAATAGTCAGATCATGCGACGAGATCGAGTCATACGACCGTCCTAGACGCGTAATAATATCATCGATCTTGCACTGCGAATCGATAAAGGCTGAATAAATATATGCCATTGTGGGAGACAAGCTAACTACTATAGCCACCGCACCACACTCGAACGCTGCCTTTCGTGTTTTCCATCATAAAATGCTGCAGTAGGATTTTTTTGGGGGGTAAGGAGAATCAAAGGGGGATAAAAGGTGAAAGCATGAGCTTGAAGAAAGGCCCTGGTGGTAAAAAAGGGGGCGATTAAAATGCAAGGCAAAGCAAGGTTGCAAACAGGAATAAAAGGCAAATAATGGAGGGAAAAAAGCAGATAATAGAATAAACCCGGCCCAGCAGTGGAGAACGGAAGACGGAAGCGATAATAGATATAGGGGGGAGTGGAGAGAGTTAAAGGGGTAAAAGGCTCGCTATACATAAGGTGAGCAGTGGTAAAAGGTAGGCGGGAGAGATGGATGGATGCAACATGCAGAGGATTAAGAGATGATTAAAGAGCAAAGAAAGGGTAGGTTAGCAAGAGAAATGAGCCATCAAGGAGCAAGAAGAAAGAAGAAAGCAAGCAGAAGAGAAGACCGGAGAAAGAAGAAAAAGCACCCATCCATCCGATCTATTGGTCATGGCCCCTGACTTCGTACCGCCCGAGTAGTAGATTAATGGAGAGACGTTGATTTCTTTATTATCATATGTAGGTGCAGGAGTAAGCCTGTTCATGTCGTTTGAGTAGGTATGCATTTACATAATGATTGAAGGAGCTAGACAGGTTAGTTAGCCATGTAAACGGAGCTATAAGGGGGATGGTATATATATATATATATATATATAGAGAGAGAGAGAGAGAGAGATGTGACTTACAGTCGACGTTCTGCTTGATGCTCTTGTGAGGGAGGATAGAGCCGCCGTTGACGTAGACCTCATCACCAATAGTCACGTCATCACCCAGGACCGAGACGTTCTCGAGACGAGCCCAGCGGCCAACAGAGCTGTTCCAGCCGATGATGCTGGACTTGACCCAGGCGTGGTCCTTGACCTTGCTGTTGGCGAGCAGGACGCATCTCTGGAGACGGACGCCATCGCCGATGACAACGTTGGGACCGATAGTCACGTTAGGACCAATGCGGCAGTTCTTGCCAATCTTCGCGGAGGGGTCGACGAGGACGTTTCCGCCGTGGACATAGGGCTCGCTGGGGGAGGCGAGCAGCTTGGAGCCCTGCTTGGTGAGAGAGGTGAGGTAGAGGCAGGTTCCGCTGAGGAAGTCCTTGGGCTGACCGACGTCCATCCAGAAACCCTCAAGGTCAAAGGAGTGCAGCTGGCCGTCCTTGCATATGGCAGGGAAGGTCTCTTGTTCAATGGAGGTTGGGCGAAGCTCGATGCGCTTGAGAACGCTGGGGTTGAGGATGTAGATGCCGGCGTTGATGCGGTTGCCGACGAACTCGACTGGCTTCTCGACGAAGCGGTCGATGCGGGAGGGGTGGTTTGGCTTGTGAACTACGACACCGTACTTGGAGGGTTCCTCGACCTTGGTGACGACAATGGTGCCCTCGTCGCCGTGAGCCTTGTGGAAGTCTGCAAGGGCCTGGAAGGGGTATTCGCAGATGACGTCCGAGTTGAGGACGAAGAAAGGAGAGTCATCCTTGCCCAAGATCTTCTCGGCAAGCTTAAGGGGCCGGCGGTGCCTAGGGGCTCAGACTCGACGGAGAACTCGATCTTGGACATTGTACATGTCCTCATACTGCGTGCGGGTCATGTTAGCCCCTTTG